GAATTCAAGTCAAAATTACACATAATGAATCGTGTATTCTGCTGGAAATGCAAAACTAAAGTGCTTTTGTGCTACCACCCCAGTGCTAACATCTCAATGTTCTTATGCAAATTTTGGATTGTCGGTTGGGTTGGTTAATGTTTTATATTTAAATCCATCCACTTATATATGTGCTCGCCCTGGACACTGTGAGCCCTCTGGTAATCCTGCCTAAGTCAAACCAGAACTATTTGGTTGTTTGGTAAACTGCAGGTCAGAATGTGTCAGAATGAAATATGGGGTGAATTTGGTTAAAAATGCAAAGTTTTAAGATCATGCCCTTGACCATCCACTGGACCACTCCAGATGCAACAGTGGCTTCATTACAATGAGGGACGTGGATATGCTTCATAATGTAGTATGGCGATGTCAGTGTGCTGAAACTGTTGTTAATGTCAAGACTACACCTTACCTAAAATTCAGCGGGTTTCCATCCACCCAGGTGAAAGTGTCTTCCTGACCACTCAATCCGATCCATAGTTTGTCAACCTGCAATGCTTGAATTGCTTCATCGATTCTGTCCTGAGGTCAATCATAAGCAAACAAATGGAAGATCACAGTTATATGAAGAAAAATCATTACCAAACAGGACAAGGTGGGTCAGAGATCAGATCATATGATGTTTAATGCTGTAGTGAAATTATAATAGTGTTACTAATCTGCCACCTGCTTCAACAGTGCATACACAGCTGCAAGCAAATACATTTAGTAAGGAAAATCACCTATACCTCTTCCGATTCATCACTGAAGACCACCAAATGAGCTCCTTTCTTCTCACAGTTTGCTCTGGCATACTCCCAGGTGCTTGGCGTACAGGACAGCTGGTAACAGCTCGACATCAGCATCCACCATCCTGGGGGACATCTTGAGAGGTTTGCTAAGAAATAGGTCGGGACGGGGCAAATCGGGGACAAAATGGGGACCAGATGAGATAGGATGAATCAAGATAAGTCAAGCACATTGGGGTAGAAACAAGGTAAAAAAATATGACGTAGAACATCAGGAAAAGCAAAATAAGAGGAAAGGAAAGAACATAATCAGAGCAGGAACAAGGCACGACCAAAAGTCCTCTCTCCTTAGGAACATAAAAGTCTGAACCAGATTTTGTCTTCATCTGTCTACCTGTTGTTAAGACTCCAAATCACAATATAAACCTACTTTGATGCAAAACCAAATTCAGCAGGATACATCCATGAATGCAATGCTGTTCATCCAGTAGGTACTGAAATAGTTCAGTCTGGACTGAAGTGATAGACTGACCAGCTGACAGACTGACATTTACGCCCTTAGAATGACTAACAGTTTATAAATGAATGGAGATTTTTTTAAACTCTCTCACCCTTGTCTTTTTCCATCTGAAGCTTTGTCATCTGACTTTGTTGTTCCAGGATTTTGTCATCTAACATCTTGATGTCTCTGGTCAGACGCGTTTCGCTTTGACGCAATTGGTTGTTCTCCAGAACCAGTTGTTTGTTATCTCGATTTAGTTGTTTTTTCTCTCGAAGAAGTTGTGCTTTCTCTTGAATCAGTTGGTCTCTGTCTGTAATTAGGACTCTGATGTCATCAGCTGACATCGAGGTGAGATTGCCAGTTGAGACGTTGTTAGATCCAGTTGAAGTCCCAACTAAAAAGTAAACATGAGATGTTTGTGATTTCTGCTGTGTTTCAAGAAAAAGTTCACATATTTTCTTACTGACAGTTAGATGTCAAGTCTAGTATGGAAGTACAGCCAGGAGTCATGAGCATGACTCACTGAAGTAGTTTAGAGTGTTAGCTAACATTACGTTGCTGCAGTGTCTTATGCTTGTGTATTATGAAAATTCAAAATCCTGTGTCTGAGCTTCCCACAAATGTTAACTCCTTTATGTGACTTTTGCTTTGTTGTGGAAAGTCTCAGCTCATACTCACCAGCTCGCAGCCGAAGAGAAACATTGAGAGCAGATTGTATGATGCACAAAAGGCCGAAAGTGACTCCAACCAACTTGTAGACTTTTAGACCTCCTGGTGGAACACAAAACACACTTATTACCAACTTCTGTCATCAACATCGGGAAAAATACAGTTGTGTTTCTCACTTGTTGTGTTTTTCAGCTATTTAGGTGAAGTTACCAAATCCAGCTGTGGGTTTGTTTGTAATCTTTACTTCTCGTTCTTTCTATTGGCTTACGAAACCCGTCTAGTTTTCTGTCTTATTTCATACAAACTGGTATTCACATCGTTTTTCTTTGTTGTTGTCTCTGTTCCTAACTGGAAGAGAGTTATTCCATCTCACATCATCCAGGGGTCTACTGCTCGACAATCTCTGATTGGTTGAAATAATAAACTATGGATAGCTGTGACATTTTAGATGAATTTATCATTGCAAATTGAACTTTCCATAACCGATCGAGCAAGTATAACAAGCTGTACCACAAATATATATATATATATATTACTAGATAGCCTAATCCAACAAGGACTAAGCTCTGAAGTTTCAAAAATGGTTTTCAAAAATATGTATTTTTTAATATGGGCATATTTTTCATTTTCAGATCTCACTATGCTTCATATAATGAACTTATGTACTGGATACTGGTTTACTGGATGTACTATTGGCAGAGGTACCTGAAGCTAAGCAGTATACATGTACTCACACTTTAAATTTCTGCACATAGTCCAGCTTGTGACATTCGGGTCAAAAGCCATGTTTATTTTTAATGGAAGCAAGAGAATCCGTTTTGATCCAAGTAAACAGTTTCCACAATGACCATGAGAATTAAATTACCACGAAGTCTTGCCCACATAAGTACATCCGAATACCATTAAATGCGTGTCATAAACACTTCCCACTAGAAAAATTCCATCCTCCCGACAGATCTACGTATCCGGTCATGCTTATCTTGTGCTGATGACCTAATGCAGTGACAACTATCAAATTAATTACGCAAAACTGCATGACAAGCCTTCTCCAAGCAAAGGTTTATGCCTACAGAGTGGGTCCAAAAGTAAAAAAGGTGGCAAACCCCCTTCTTAGTTATGTTTGGAGAACCATTTTGAAAGTCCGGAACTGTACTTGGAATATGTGATCTACATGTTTTTGTTGGTTTGGGGTACAACTTGTCATCCCTGTTCAATCAGTTATGAAAGTTGTTTTTTTTATTATTGTGACATGCAACTACATATGCTTGACAAAATATCACTAGTGACCTGCTGCATTATCAGTTGTTCTGTTAATGTGTGCTCAAAGATGGGACTTTTATTGACTGACTGAATTTTTTTTTTAATATTTCAACTCACCAATAGTAAGAAACCATTTAATCCACTTGTCCAGTATTGCAGATTCTGAACCAACGGCATGGTGCTAAATAACAGTGAACATTTCAGGCTTAGATCTTTACTGGTTCCTGAGATATTATCCTTCAAACATAGCTTTAAATTTTAACGTGTGAAAAAAGGTGCTGAAAGTGAGTCGACAGGCAAAATGTGACTCAACTTAAATTTCATAAATATTTTTTATGTATATCCATAATTTATTTTAGAAATATTGCAGGCAAATCAAGATGGTCAAGCTAAAAAAATTTGATGTTTTTTTTTTTTTAGCACTCTAGCTTTATTAACCGTGAACAGAGAATTAAGGCGGAAAAAGTCTAGACGAGACTGAGATTCTAAAAAAAAACCCAAGTTGCTGTATGTAAAAATTTATCTGTAAATTCTTTAAAATGTCAAAATGACATCACATTCAGATAAAGTAAACCTTTGACTGATTACATTCAACTATTAAATAAATCTATTAACTTATTTTCACAATCTTTATTATTATAACTCACTACAAATTTCTATATCCAAATGGGAGTATTTGGAAAAGTTAAATATGAAGAACCACGAGTGCACTGTGACTTTGTAAGTCAGGGACACTCAGTGGCATCATGGTACCAAAAGGTTAACATAAGTTTTTTGTTATTTTATTACAAAGAGAAACATCTTGCAGCGTTACTGGTGTGGTTTGTTTGTTTTTCTGTGTATATTTTTGCTTCTAGTTATTGTGTCTCTGCACACACAAAGTAAGAACAATAAAAGGAAGCATACAGACTAAAAAAACTTGGGAAAATATGAATTATTAGCAGTCGGAGACAGTAACTCGTTTAAGATATTCTGACCTGACTCTCTGTTCGGCCTTCCTTCACCGGGCGGTGGATTGACATGGTGTCCACTCTCCATTCTTCTTACAACGACAGTTCTGAAGCAGCGGTTGCAGACCTATAAACTGTATCTGTCAGTCTTTGTTGCCCTTCTGTTGTTCGTGTGGCAGTTTAAATGTGTCCCTACCTATTAAAGGAAATCATGATCAAGTGTACGAATGATATCACCAACCACAGATGGTCAAAAAAAAAAAAAAGGTGTTGATGCAAAGTTTATACAAGGAAATACTGGTGGTCAGGTCACTGAAGGACCGCATGTTAATCTGCACACATAGTTATTCCCCTAATGACACAGAAAACACATTCAATGCAAATTTTCAACATGTGTGGGAGCTGTGTTACGCAACATTCTTCTTCCTCGTGCACCTGACTTCAAGCTCAGTGAAAAATATATGTTGCAGACTCTCCACAAAGAGGAGCTGTATGCATTCGCCATTACTGAAGACGTTGCTACGAAACAACAGCACAAGATGTTGGCCGTCGCTCACTCGTGCATGCGGTCGCGTTTGATGTGTTGCGTTGGTGGAAAGAGGGTGGAACAGAAATAAAGACAAGGTTTTGATGGTACTTGTTTATCTCTCTATGAACCACATCTACACACTTTATATATAGAGAGAATTTTATACATTTAATATATATTTAACTTCAACAGCTTCTCTACCACAACTTTTTTTTCATTGACCATGTGTTGTATAAGTTTATTTTTATCATGTGTTTTAATGTTCAGTTCGTCTCTCAACTTTTACGTGGGCAGAAATGTTACGATACAAATAAGCAGACGTGTCAAGCAGGGGAAAGGTTTTATTTTAAAAGATGGATAAAGCTTTAAACAGTCCAACCCCAACATACATGTTTTTTTTTCTCCCTCCCCGTTTAATATACAGCAATAAAAAGAACGTGTCATTAGATTACAACCAGCAGGAGAGAAATGAGATTAAATATCAAAAAATCAACAATGAATGAAATGAATATATACAATAGTTCAGTGGTGTGTGTGTGTGTGTGTGTGTGTGTGTGTGACAATGTGTGCAACCGTGTTTGTCGATGTGTAACTTAATGATTAAACGGCTTCTGACACATATTTAAAGTTGCCCAAGCTGGTGTATCACTTCAGCTCCATCTCACACACCCAAGAATGTGACTCTCTGCACAGAGCGCTGGTGAAGGTCACGAAGGAGTCTTGGACAGCAACGACACAGTTTCCACGTTGATTCCCTCTCGGCCGCCTCTCACTACGAAACACAACACAAACGTCTTATTATCAGCATCAACATCTTCATTTGTTATGCACAGCAAATTTAAACCTGTGACATTTCTGTGGATTTGTGTTTTGCAGCCGTAATGTGCAGACAGTGAATGATGATGAGTGGTCCAGGAAAACCAGTCTAAACACCTGCTGACTTTACAGTTTCTTTAGTATGATTTACCGCATCATGCTCTCTCTGAAAACGATCTATTGGAGATCTCCGGCATTCACTAAATAATCCCACTTTGGTCTTCGAGGCGAGGCTGACTGAGACCTGTCCACACAGGCTCAATGCTGTGATTGTGGCCAAAGTTGCATCCGCTGATACTGACTGAGAGGTCAGCTTTTGCAGTCGCTTATTCTATGTTTTGACATTGCCTTGCAAAAATCTGTTTTCACTTTGACACGAAAGAGTCTTTGTCCCCCAAATTCTTTGACTATGACTAAATATTAAAAAGAAATAAAAGGGAAACACTTTCAAGTGGGGGTGAATACTTTATAGAAGTACTGTGGCTGCAGTCTTTAACTTTCTGCAAACAGCAGCAAGGATCCGGTTAACATGTGTCACCAGGCACTGTGCACTTTAAAGCTACATCCTCTCACTGATGCTGCTACATGCAAATAGACAATATGCACCTTAGTTTCTATCTATCTATCTATCTATCTATCTATCTATCTATCTATCTATCTATCTATCTATCTATCTATCTGGCATGACTCAGACATTCTAGTCAACATCAGCAGTAGAGTAAAAAAGTTTTAATTTGAGTTTGCTCTGGCTGCTTTAGCAAACACGTCATTTTCTCGACAGAGGAGCTGATGCATATTTTAAATTTTAAATCATGACCATCATGTCTTTGGTTACACATTGAAAATAATTCCAAAGGCCTTACGGATTTAAGAGAATGCTTCCGTCCACCCACGTCCACCTTTGTTGTTGATAGCTCAAACCGATCCACACGCGCTCAGGTCCAAAAACATAGAGAATATCCTAATGGAGGAAATTTGGTATGAATTACTGTAAAGTGTTGTTTCAATTCATTAGATAAGATACTTTTGGAAAATGAAGGACAAAGAAAGTAGTATTATGCAGGGAAGCAATGCTGTGTAGAAATATTCATGATAAACAACCCGTTTAAATAGAATCTGGATGGCTGCGGCAAAGTTATTGAAACGTAAATACCCCTTCCACGTCATCGTTTACAATCAGCAGATGAGCTCCTCTCGAACTGCAGTCTTCTTTGGCGTCCATCCAGTTCTTTCTTTCAGCGGAAAGCCAGTAACAGCTGGACATGTATGTCCTCCATCCAGAGGGACATCTTGGGCATCCCTGGTCTGCTCATAAACAAGACAGAGCAGTTCAGAACAGAAGAGGACAAACAGAAAAACAGGCAGAACAAGAGGACAGGAAACACATTGCACTTTTGCTTTTTTTTTTAGAAGAATCTTACAAATAACTACAAAAGATTTAGAAAAAAACTCTTACCAGATATGATCAGGCTGGTGTTTCCGGTCTCTGGCTCTGTTATGTTTGGTTGGCTATCCCCCAGAGGCAGGGTGCTGATGTCAGCTGATGACATCAGGGTGACATTGTTAGAGAAAATGTGGTTGGAGTTGTTGCAAAACGCAGTTCGGAAGAAAAAAAACAAAGACATGTTCCTCTTTTGAGGTCACAACCTTAAACCACCCTGATTTGGAAGTAAGGAAGAGCAGCTACTCTTTGTTTTGTCTTAGTGTTCTTACCAGCAGGAGGCTGCTGTTGTGAAACATTTTTGAAAGATTTCACATGCAGCTTTCACAAAACTTCTTCAGAATACGGGCGGATTCACTGTCACTGAGATGACAACACTTCCATAGTATTCATTTACATTTAGCTTAAACTTTGAATGCATTGAGGTATGGAGGCATCATTTACAAAGTAATATCTCCTGTACGCGTTTCACATGAGTTCATGAATTCTAGGATTTTACTCAGTCGGTGTGCTTTTATTTTGCTGTGTAACGTGGGAGCTGGTACTCACTTGTATATAGGCGAAGAGAGACATTGAGGACGGACTGTATGATGCACAGCAGGCCGAAGCTGACTCCAACCAACTTGTAGACTTTTGACCATCCTACTGGGCACACACACACACACACACACACATCGACCAAAGGGATTATCACCAAATATAGGTACCACAAGTTAAATGGTGAAGCTGTGGACAAACTGTGACACATTTCATAAAACACTGGAACAGGCACACTGATAAAAATACATAATGTGACAAAGAGACTCTGCATTACATCACAGTTCTCAAGAAGATTCTGAAATAGCTCAGACTTCCTTCTGCTTTATAAAACACAAAACTAAATTAAATCAATAAAACAACAGACTGCACAACAGCTTTCCCCCACGTGTATTTACATATGAAGAATATTTTACTACAGATGATATACGTATTGTTTTTGCTTTAGCTTAAAGTCCATCTACGTTCACTCTGTTGCCCGTTTATTAGGTGCACTTACTTAAAACTAAAGCAATCTAATGCAGCAATACTTAAATAAAACCTGCCGAGACTACGACTACGATAACGCCTCTCGATTGGCTCCAACAAAAATCAAACAGTATAAACGATCGGTGTATTTTCATTATAAGCAAACCCTTTAAACGGGCAAGTGAGAATATATTTAGTAATAATAAATAACATTACATTTTATTTGTATAGCGCTTTTTTCAAAAACTCAAAGATGCTCTACAGGATAAAAGAAAAATAAAAGCAATTAATACAAAAGTAGACTAAGCAAAAATACAAGCAAGCAGATAAAAACAACTCAAATATATATAGAATATAAAAAAACAAATGTTCTGACCTGTTTCTGATTGGCAGTTGTCTCTCCCCTCTGAAAGATTCCTCTCTGAATCAGCAGACAAGTTGACATATTGTCCCATTTCCATTCTCCTCACTGCAGCTCTGTTAGACTAACTGTAAGATGTGACCTGTACTGTACTACCCATCAGCTGCCTTTATCTTGTGGGTGTGTGTATAAATACATTATCCACTGGTCTCTATGGTGACCAATTTCACAATGACAGTTGTGTCACCAAACCACAGATTAAAAAAAAAAAAAAAAAAAAAGGAATAAAAAGTCAATTCTGATTAACAATCCAAAGAAATAATAACTAAAGCACACAAAACCGAAACAACAGCGTTTTTAGAGGACATCAAGATAACTATGGGCACAGTGATCTTTCTGCTGCAGTAAACTCTTGTTTTCCAGTTGATCTGCACCAAACATTCAGCGTTTGGGAACTTTTTCAATGACTTGTATGATTTTTGTTATATGCAAGAAAGATTCAAGCAGAGCTCCGTAGGTAGCATAATTGTTCTCACTGAAAATTTAACAGCTAAATCTGTATTCTACCAGCGTCACTCTTCCGATTATTGACAAGTGTGTCACACTGAACTGCAGAACATTTTCCCGACGCTTTTATACAAAGCAAGAAAAAAAAAAAAAAACAGGTGTAATTGTCATTAACAATGGCTGTGATCCATTTAGATGAGTTTGCTGCACTGTGCTGGAATGAACACTGGA